AAATAGGGTACTCCATTATTCTAAACCAAAAAACGCAAAAATCTTTTCTCTTGTTTATATGTCCCTTGTTCCGAACCCATTGTTGTGTGCAATCTAATTTCCTCGCCATTGTAAGTGCATCCCACATGGAATCTCTGGATGAGCAGGTGGTTCAGAGGGTCGTTCTGAGATCTTTGCCCAGGGTAAATGATGAACATATGAATAGAAACAACAGGTCAGTTCACAGTGGCAATCAACGCGGCAGCTGAATTGAATTATTTGTTTATGTCCGCAAAATGAAAGGTTTCCATGGGAAAATTAATCAGAAAGAACAAGTGAAAAAAGGCGGGAGTGTTTGCAGCTTTTCTTTTAGTTCACTTTTACTGTTTTTTGTTTATAAACTAAAAAAAAAGATTTTTGTTTAAATCAGATCACCATTAAAGCTATAAGATTCCAAGAAATATGTTTTTTTTTATTAGATATATTAGTAAACTTTGACTGTATTCATATAACATTTTCAATAGGAAAACCAATTAGGTGGCTTTCTAATAAAACGCTATGGTTCGCAATGAAAATTGCGTGTGTGGAAAAATCTGACTTTGATGTGGATGGAAATGTGAATGATGATGATCATCGCCCGAGTTCCATTGACGCCCACGGAGAGCAAAAAATATGTATGGGGAAAAACTAATTAAATCAAAGCAATTGCTAAAACGTACAGTTTAATTAAGAGCATGAGACATAAGAGTGCAGCGCTAAATATTTCCTGCTGAGCGGATTCTCGGGTTCTCGGATTCTCGGGTCCGGAATCGGAATCCGTGCATAAATCTGGGCTCCAAGTCCACGGGTTCCAAGTCCCCGGGTTCCCAGATCGGTTCAAGCGGAATTTCTGGTTGGATCTCGGAATGATGATTGACGGCCATCATCGCGTAATCTTCGCTAGGCGGAGGATTATGGCGACAATTGCTTTGCACTTGCTCCACAGACCCAGATTCTTCAGCTTGATGTCACTCGATGCACTTTCCTCCATTTCCATTTCCATTTCCATGTTCACCTCCAATCTTCTCTAAAATACCATACCCGGCGTATGAGCAATTTTCGCTTTATTTTTGGGGCGGGGAACAGGAATTTGGCTGGCAGTATTTGCCAGGCAATTACCTTGACTCTAGTTTTTAATCAAATTTTTACATGTTTCTACCCCCAATTTCCTTCTCCATTTCCCCCGCTTTTCCTTTTACGTTTTCCCGCTTTCCCACTTTCCACTCTGTCTCGCTCTTTTGTGATAATTGTGGCCAAAGCACAAAGTTGGCTCCTGCCACACATGTGTTTTGCAGACATTGTGTGTCTGTTTCTGCCTAATTCTTTATACTCTTTATGACAGGGTTATATTAACTATTCAAAAACTATTTTGTGTTTGCTGTCTTTTAGTTTTTTTTGTATTATTTTATTGCTGTCTTTTATCTAGAGAATTTGGAAACCCTTTTCTATTTATATACCTTTGCAGAACATAAAACCCTAAAATTTCTTAAAATTTTGTTATTAATTAGTTATAATCTTTTAGATATGTGTAACATATACAATAATAAAACCTATTTTTAAAACCCTTTTGAAATGCATCCCGACTTCCGCTTTCTATTGTCTGCATCTTCCTTTTTTGTGTTGTCTCTTTTTGTGTGTTTTTGTTTTTTGTGGCTTGCGAGCTGAGAGTTTTTGGGCCTGCCACGCCCCCAGGACCACCGCCCACCGTCTGGCGTGCCTTTTGGCCACAAGTTGAGCGCAGTCAGTCAGTCAGTCAGTTAGTCAATAACTTTTTCTTTCGGTTTTTGTCAGAGGAGCAGGACTACCCCAAACCAAACCAAAAAAAAACAAAATTATTTCTAGATATGTGTGCGATCGATTTAACGAGAATTGGCTGGCTGTCTGCTGCGATTTTTGAACATGATGAAAATAAATTGCCAGCACACATATGTGCGCCAAATTTATGGCTGGCCAAAAAGGGGGAGTGGCTCGGTCTCAATGTGTAATTTGTCTTGCAGGAAATGAGCCCCGTGGGCAGGCAAAAAATCTAGAAAATCTAAAAAAAAAAAAAACCCCTTGTCCATTTGAGGGTTCAATGCACGCACATAGGTTTTATTGGGGGGTGGGTGGTGCAAATCGCGACCTTCCGCCCCAAACTGACCCACTTGAGGCCCCGGCCACACCCCCCTCCCCCCCCACACACACACACACACTCGCGAGCAACAAGTTGAGACAATTGACAGTAGCCAGGCATTCTGTCTGCTTATTTTCCCCTTTTGTTTTCTTGCTTTACCCACTTTTCACTTGCATAAATCTAGATGCAGATGCATTTCGCAAAAATGGGTTCAAGGACACTTCGTTGTCATCTAATTGGGCGGGCACATAAATAACATTTCTCATTGTTTCCACACCAGGTTATTTATTTATTTTCGCCGTTCGCACGTTGCGTATGCGTAATAATTCATTTCATTTGCAATTGCATATGGCATTCACAATGGCGGCAGAAAAAATAGCATTGCATATTTGATTTGATTTTTGGGTTTATCTTAACAGTCAGAAAGTTGCAGTTTATTGTTCATTAAACGCACCAAATGATTTGTTATTGTTTTACAATTCCTTTTGTTTTTTTTACCTGGAAATAAATAAAAAGTAATTCTAATAACATAAGTTGAGCGCATTAATATGTCTTTTTTGCAATCGATGTTTTAACATTTTCGAGTGCATAGAATGTGCTATTATTTCTGACGCAGCTGTACATTCGATGCGTTGTGGGCGGCACAGTTTGAGAGCCACTGTGGGCCATGCTGCTTTTTTGCATTAGCGGACAGCTCGAGTAATCACAATAAACGCCAGGAATCTGTGTCAAGCATGCCGACTGTCCGTCCGACGTACACGGCAAAACTACTCGCCGAAATCGAGGCTATAAACGGTCGGCAGATGTTACTTCAATAAGCGAAACGGGCAGGAATCGGTTAAGGATCGGGTAAAAATTATAAAATATGCTGTTTCAAGACTTGCATATATTATATAACGGTTAAACGTTTTAAATATCTAACGGGTCTTAATGATTTGTTGAATAAGATTTCAAAATATGATTTTAATATCTATTATTAAACAAATTATAACAACAAATTCGACATTTTAACTAGAAACACAACCTGTACTTCAAGATAATTTTTCAAGTTAATTTCTGAACTGACAAATCGATTGGAGGCACTCTTTAGCGTGTTTTCAATAGCTTAGACCTGATTTTGGCAGCATTGTTATGTGTAACACACACCAAACAAGCACAAACTTGCCGAAAAACATGGGACCAACTTCAAAGTCGTCGCACGTGACTATGCAGCTTCATAAGCCAGCCGTTCAGCCAAAACCACACAAAAACCACCCAATTTCCTCCTAACAACCATTCAGACCCCTTAAAAAAATCAGACACAGCGTAGACAAAACGCAGACAATGTTTAAATCTCAAAACAACTATGACACCGCACCAATTCGTCACCGATGTTTGTTCAACTTCGGTTTTAAGAATGTCCAGCTATGTAAAATTTTATTTACTTCAAATTAAATGAATCTTAAAACGCTTTCCTGGACTCGTGTGTAAACAAATTAAATGGGAAGACAAGTACTCTGTTCCATATGTTTTCACCTTACTTTCCCACCTCCAAATGCTATCTGCCATTCCTGTGTCTGTCCATTATCTTTTTAGTTTATCGAAGTATTTCGATAAGAGGATAGAAGGGGCTTGGGCCATGCACATTTGGCCCACATTCCACCTATTCCCATACAATCACAACCTCTTTCTTACACTCACAGAAATAAACGTTTTTAACAAGCAAAAGAAAATTTGTTTATCAAATTATTGCTGTAAAACATAATACGATTTAAATTCTATTTCTATTAGGTCAAAAAAAAATTAAATATAGTTATAATTACCCTGATATTCTAAAGGCCGGTTTCATTTTTTATCGTGTCTATAATAATCTATGACTATTTTTCTTCAGTGTATGGGAAACGTGGGAAGAGCGGAGTGGAAAAGAGCTTTTCTCGGCTAAAAGAGAGCATTGAACATCAGTTTTGTGGCTAGATATCATCGTTTTTCGTGTGATGATCAGGGGCGTATAGAGGTCTCAATAAAAGGGGCGGGCCAGGCAAAGGGGGGTGTGCCACTATTGTTTGTGTGTGGCACATGTTGAACATGCGGGGCAAGTGCTTTTTATCAGCCAAAGGCAACAAGAAATATGACGTAGCACGCGTCTTTTCCTGACACTTCCACTTAAAACAAAAAATAATGGAATGGGTATAAATAAAAAGTTCTGGTTGGGGAACACCAAGAATAGGGACTAAAACAAATGAAAAGAAACTGACACTTGAAATCAATGCTCAATTAAAGAGTCTACCGAAATAGATCGGAGGTGGGTAAAAAATGGGGGTGAGGAAAATAAAAAGGGGCTTACAAATAAAGAAAACCAAAAAAAGGATGCTGGTTACCTTAAAGTCTGAAATTCTTAGTTCTTTTACTGGGACTTACTTGTATGATTTATATTTCATATTTTTACATTTTTAAGATACAATTTTCCGGGTCCAATTTTAGGGAACGTTAACAGCCATGTTATGTTACCGCTAATTGTGGGGAAAATCTAGCCAAGACACAATTCCTTTAAAACTCCAGCACTGCATTGCCTTGCTTAGCATTGACAGCAACCAAATTGGCAAGCTTTTTTTGCTTTTAACATAAATGAAAAATCTAATAAAAGCACTGGAAAGGAAATGTGTGATGAAAAGGGGGAAAGAAGTAGCAGGCTTTTGGAAAATAATTGCAGGGTTTCTCATTTAATAGTAGTTTTATTGTTGAAAGTTTGGCTTTTAACTTTCTCATTATTAAAAAAATGTTTAAAAATGCTTAAATCCGAACATAAGTGAGGCTAAAATCTTTTATTTGTGATGGCGTATCTTTCTATGGATAATTAATAACATGGTTTGATTGTTCGGTATCCTTTCAGCCAAATGAAAACGACTTCGTGTTGACAGACCGCATCAAGTTCCCGGAAGATTTTGAAGTTTTGAACTATGACTCTGTCTTTGACTCTGACTCTGACTCTGACTCTGAAGGAACAGAATCATTGAAAAAAAATGATGAGGTCCAGCTCACCGGGAACTGGTTAACCGACAGTGTCCATCGCGTTCGCCGCTCCATCAAACGTTTGTTTGGCGCCGATGACGATGAGAATCAGAAGCAGCAACAAGAGCTGGTGCGGCGGAAGCGCATAGAAAGGCAAAAGGATCTTCGCCAAAGGGCCAAGGAGGAGCAGGCCCGCAAGCGGGAACATGAAAAGCAGATTCAAGATAGGCAGCGAGTGGCCAAGCGGGCCAATGGCGTCACCGATCCTCGCAAGCGGGCATCCGATAACTACGACGAAAACGAGGCATCCGGCGACCACGAGGAGGAAACCGCTCTCTGTAAGTCAATTTTTCGAGTTCTATTTATAAAAGGTTCAAATAGCTCCACAGTCGGTTAAAGCGAAATGAATTTGGAGCCATTGTTATCAAACCACGATTTCTTTCAGACCAACTTTAATTTGAAATATTATATTTTAAAGAAACTTTTTATTAAACTATACATTTTGAGCATTAACTAATTGTCCTAAAATGTTGAATGGATACATCCAAAACTAGAAACGCCTCTGTTTGTAATGACTTTGGCTTTATAAGCTGGGTTATTACATTAGTACCGTTCATAACTACTGTATAATATTTACCCATACTTAATGACATCTCTTTTAAAACTAGATCGAGCCATATTCGTCGTCAATGAGCCATATTCATACGACTTTCGGTATCGGGATAGCGATCAGTACCTAACCCTGCAAAAATCTCTGGAAGATGATCTGATCAGTTTCTTCCGAAACGCTTACAATAGTCATGATGATGAGGAGCAGGAAATTCATATCACTCTGGATCAAGTTGAGTGAGTTTAATTCAATATATATCCCTTGGGACCTGGCCAATTCTGATCGTATTTTTCATTATCTCAGGCCCACTGAAGACAGCTTTAAGGTGCGAGTGACGCTCAAGATAGAGATTCCCAGTGCCATCACCGACTTTGGTAATAAGTTGCGTCAGCAACTGAATAACTACAGCCGTATCGAACGAGTGGGTGCCACTGCCGACAACAACTTTGTGTTCGTAGAATTGACTGGTGAGTCCGCTAGAATCCGTGTCCCCAAAACTTCTTACTCTCTTTTCTGCGACTATCTGCGTTGCTTTGGTGTGAGATGAATAACCCTTTCCCTTCCAATTTCCCAAATCAGGGATGCAAACATGTACATTTTATACACGAAACAATCGAATTTGTGGCCGAAAAAAAGCTATATATCATATTTTATTTCACAGTTTCGGGAACCACTTTTTGTAAAGGTTTGAAATCACTTTTAAAGATATTTTTTTGAGGACATTAAGATATATTTCACATTAAACCATAGGTGATTTCAAATCTGCGGTTCCCGCGTATTTGTATCTTTGCTTAAAAATGACTCATTCGGCTTGCATTGCTGTCAATAATCTGAATCACGATATTCAAACTCTTTCTTCACCTCGACCACACAACAAAAAATCCTCAAATACGCACCAAAAGGCCAAGAAGAAACCACTGATGCCCGTACGGCTTACGGGCTGGGAAAATTGCAGCCCGAGTTCCCCGTAATACGTATCAATTCCAAAACTGATATACGAGCTAATCGCAAAGGTTTGTCCACGTACAACGAACCGGAAATAGAAAGATTGCCCCAATGTGATTAACCTGGCAATCCTCGAACCGAAAAAAACAACTATTTTATATCGCTAACATTATCTGTGGGTCTGCTCTAGTTTTTATTTTCTCAAATGATTCATTAAATTATTATTTTTATTGCCTGAAAAGTTGCAATTTATAGTAAGTTTTTAAACAAAAGACAGACTTTTAAATATTCTTGAAAAAAGAATAAAAGCAACACTATACAAAAGTACATAGGATGCAACATATCGTGCTTGGAGAGAAATTAAAAATTAAATTGAATATTTGTAGGGCTAATTGGTTATCTCAATCAAAAATATGATTGGGTTTTTGAAATAAGATGAGAAATGAAATCCAGAGTGGACCTTTACGTGTGTGTGCTTAAGAAAGTGACCTGTGTGCGTGACCTTGTGACCTTGTGCCCCCTCGACCCCTGTGAACGTCTCTCATCATCGAACGCCTCGCTTCCTGCCATTCGCTCCACTCTCTGTCTCCATTTCTGTGATCTCTGTCTCTAAAGTTCTGTCCTACGTCTTTGGGAAACTGCCCAGAAAATAGCATGTGCCATCGCTAATCCTTTTGTGACCTCACAGATGATGAAGAACCGATCGAAGTTCCATTCCCATCGAAGCCAGAGGTGGAGGGTTCCGGCGGCGATAGCGAGGTCTATGACTTCAACTGTCGTGGAGATGCCACCTACACCTGTCGCTACAGCGGGAAAATCATTTGCGATGAAATGAAATGCGACGGAGAGAGCCAATGTCCCAATGGCGAGGACGAGGAATCCTGCCCCCATGCACCGGGTAAATGTCCCAGGATTCTAGTACTAGATCGCCAACTCATAGATCGTACGGCATCGCCTATTTTCACCACATCTCCCTACTAACCCGATTTGCAAACGGGGCTCATTATATAGTTATAGATTTCTTTACATCTCCCAATGGAGCTGCAAAAAAGTCGATCGGTTTTTCGACACAACTTTCAACATATAACAAATGTATCAAGTGGGCAAATGTTGGGTGTACCTATTTGCTGCTAATCACACTTCATTAACAATTAGAACCGGTTTTCCGATTTTGATATACCTATAATTCCGACAAATAACAAAATGAGCCAAAACAAAAATCAATTCCTTGATCCTTTTGCAGTTCCATCTCCTGCCTTATCTAAAATTCAATGAATCATATAGAATATAGAATTTAACCTGCCCGGATCGTTCGTTCATTTTCATTTTCATTTTATTTGGTTTTTTGTTCAATTGATTTGCTTTAATTTTAATTTATTTATTCGTATCTCTTTTTGTAAAATTGTGAACCTCAGTTTGCACTGAAGATCAGTTCAAGTGCGACGATAAATGTCTGTCACTAGACAGGCGCTGTGATGAACGGGTCGATTGCCAGGATCAGACGGACGAGGCTGGCTGTGATCCGCAGCCGGAGCAAATACCAGACTCTGATCGAAAGCCAGAATTCGAACCCGAACCGGAACCTGAACCTGAACCGGAGCCTGAGCCTGAGCCCGAACCAGAACCTGAACCTGAACCCGAACCCGAACCAGAACAATTTGAGGGTAAGTTACTTCGAATATTATACCCTTGTACGTATACGTATTATAATTTTGGTCAGCATCACTAGGCGAGTCCGTCTGTTTACACACCTTTTGTGTTTTATGTTTAAAATCGCCTCCGATCGGACTTCCCTAATCTATATCTGCAATAGAAATAAAGAAAGAATATAAAACTTCGTAGAAAAATATTTTTTTTAAATTCATATACACTTCTTATCTTTTTAAAAATGGGACTTTATCGTATAGCTTCCATGGGAACGATTGAACAAAGTTTAATGTTTAAGTCGATTTATAGTCGTTTTATAGAATATTCTACTTTTTTATATCTACAAGGGTATATAAACTTCGGCATGCCGATTTTTGCTTTCCTTCTTGTTTTGATTAATTTCGCTTTGTTATTCTGTATGTGATTTAATTTGGGGACTTAGGATCCTTAGTATCGGTTTGGATAAATCGGTTTGATTGTTTTTTGTGCCGTAGTCAACCGAGCAAGATAGTGTAAATTTCGGAATATCAATGATTGTGCATACAACATCAAGCTTTAGAATTCGCGGGCTCAAATGTAAGTCATCATCGCTTAATTGCGTTTGCTAATCCCTCAAGTGATATTATTTTTGGGGCCTATTGTCTTTCATTTCGATTCGCAATCGCCTGTTTAGAGTGATCTCATTGGTTTACTGTCTGCGATCTGCGGTCGTTTAGTAGGCCGCATTCAGAACTATGCTCTCTGTTATGGCCAAATAAATTCCGCATATTAATTGGCCCAATAAACGAATATTTCCACTGAGTGCCACACATGCCATTCCGTTCATTCTGTTCTTTGTAATATCTTTTGTATTTTATTTATGGCCTTCTGCTCGTTGCTGTGTTCTTTTAACTTGAATTAAGTTTTCTCTCGCCGGCAGTCAATTGGGTTAAATATTTGATTTTCTAATGGATTTCCAATGCATCGGAATCCATTGGTCGGGCGGCGTCTTTTGGCACGTAATCGAATCGGTTCCATTCTGGTTAAACTAAAGGCATTCCATTCTGGTTAAACTAAAGGCATTCCGGGCAGTGATGCAAGATGTTTTAGTAATAACTGCAAATCGGAAGTGAGACATATTATTAAAATTTCCATGCATTTCCGGCATTTTATCGATCTACATTTGATTTCATGCAATGCACTCTCCTAATATTTGTGTAAAAACCTTTTCTACAAATTTTGGTTAAATTAAGGATTCATTTCACTATGATTTTTTGTATTTTTTCAACGACTTGGCAAGTTATATTTGTAGGAATACACTTCAAATGACTTCTATGCTGGTTTTTTGGTTCGGACTGCCAAAATGTACTCAAATGTTAAACAATCGTGTCCTCCCATTGACCCTGAACACTTTGCATCAGCTTACCACCCCATCATTTTTTTTTTTCGCCTTCAACCAACCTCATGTTGTGCAAATTGCAACGAGAAAGAAGCGCAAACAAAAAGCATAAATGTAAATAGCAGAGGAGACAAAAAGGCGAAACAAGTGTTTCAACCAAAAAGTGAAATTACAAACCCACTTCCTTGCCCACACTCACACCCACAAACACCCCCACACCCACGCATCCAGAAACCGCAATTGTAGCGCCCCAAAAAACCAGATTACAATATCCATGAAATATGCCACAAAAGTCGGAAGCACAACGAGAGGAAAAAATATGTTATATAGATGGTGATTTGGGGTCTGACAGGCAGTGTGCCCATAGAGAGTGTGTGCTTTAATTTTTTATTTTGCGAGCTGCACTGTGACGACAGCTAACAGCAAAAACAATTTGCAACAGATTAAAATTACCCCTAAGCGTATTATAAACTTAAATAATCCTCTCGCAGTGCAAGAGCAACCAGAACCACCCCGAAATCCAGAGTCCTGACTCCTTATATCCTTGCTCGCAGATTCCCAGCTCGCTTTTACTACTTTTGGGGGCGTGTTAAGTGCTGTCAACGAGATTAAATGCAATGTCAGAGGTCGCCACCCACTAAAACAACACACACGCACCAAAAAAAGACCCGAAAAAAAGTTGTGTCCTTGGAAATTTAATGAATTTTCAACACTCCACTCCAGGGCATCCGAAAAGGAAAAGAAGCTGGGAAAATGGGGTGGAAAATGGGAAGCGTTTGAAATTAGTAGAGATAGTTTGTTAGTTGGCTTGTTACACGATTTCTTTGGATAATGCTGTACTTTGAAGTTAGATTAATAGTTAATAGATATAATGACCTCAAATGTTTAATGATAATAATTATATTTTGATAAATTCTTATAAATGACATATGATATATTATTACAGAATTCTATGCCAGATTAAATTAAATATATTCAGTACTTAAAAATTAAATATATTTTTATATGTTGCTAATCCATAATATTTATGAACTAAAATAAATATTTCGGATGTTAATTTTCTATTTATCTATAATCTATTACATCAATTTAATATATTGTAATATTTTATTTATATTATTTATGACTAATATCTGAAATCAGTTTTAAAAAGGCTTTTATCTCACTAATTGTATTCCCTTAAGAGTTTATAAAAACCAAATTGAGGTCACCTAATACCATGTGGGACCTAACATTTTGTTGTATTGATAAACAAACATATATTTTTTAATTGAGCTCGAATTCTTGACCATCAGGCCACAAACCTTGATTCGGATTCTACATTTCGAATCCCACTTTGCCATTTGGGTTAATGAAGGCAATATCCGTGGATTTCAATGCTATCTATATGTTTTTCCTACACTCTTCGTATCCGTATGCTTTTTTGGTTGTTATTACACTCGTTGCTGTCGTTCTGAAATTCGAAACTTCCGTGGCTTTCGGATGGTTTTGAAAGTGCGTCAATGGAAGCTGTGCACAGCTTGCACTTGAAGCTTGAATTGTATTTTGTGGGGCTCTGCTTTTATCATTATGCAATGTTGTTGGGAAATGTAATTACTCCCCTCGACGTCGCCCATTTTGTAATTTGGTATTCAAAGTTGGATTTATGAACCATATGTATATGTATTTTTTTTTTGCGCCATATATTTTTTGTGCGCTTTTGCGGCTGCATTGGGTTTTGTTGATTAAATTTGGCAAAGACAACTTGCACTTTTCCCCACTCCCTTTTTGGCGCGAGTCAATTAGCGGCTTCAGTTTGCCTGAACTGTGTTAAATGGCTGCAGATTTCAATGTGCATTTTGCCCAGCAACCACACACGCTACCAGAAACTACAAAACAAAAAAATCGCTGAAAAAAACATTGCACAAATGGACAAGGAAAGTGGGCAACATCTAGGTGGCCACACATATGCAAATTGAATTTGCCAGCCAGCCAACGCTTTTCTTTTCTCGCCAAGCGCCAAAAAGGGCGAAAATTAAGCCAAGAAAGAAATACACAAACAGGCAAAACAAAAGAATGGGAAGACAAAATATAGAATGGTGGATACTCGTATGGGAAATTAGGAAGTGGTCTCCAAAGATACCCTGTATCTTAGATAATATAAATAAATATAAAACTCAAATATTTCTATCTTTAAAATGGAAAATATATTTTTTCATATGCCAAAATGCTTTTAGTCACTTCAAACTTTTTAAAGCAAAGTTTATTATTGGCTACTGTTGACATGTGTCCTAAATCATGTTCTATGGCTCATAAACTGTTCTTACATTACGTAAATATACAAAATAGGCTACGGTCATATGGAATGCCAGTTAGTCATGTTTCAGTCACATTTTTTTTCTTTTTTATTAAAACTTATTTTCACTCTTCTTAGGAATTTTCAATACTTTGTACTTCTGAACATTTAAAATTGGAACAATTTTCTTTTTCCAAAGCAAGCTTTCTATAATTCGCATATACCCTTCGGCCTCCAGCGAAAAATCTGTTGAAATCATAAAAAATCATAACAGCAAACAAAGGCAACCCCTGCCACGCCCCCCGCCCCTCGGGGGTGTTGTGCATGTCTGATGAGCTTCGCTTGTGTGTGTGTCTGTATTCATGTTTATACGTCTGATTTTTGCATTATAAGACAATTTGCAATTAATTAACGCACTGTTTGAAGGACAGTTCGCAATTCGAAAACCATAATTTTTGCGTTAAATCGATGTAGTTAGTTATTGTCTTTTAATTATTTTTGAGAATTTATATTAAATCAACATATTTTGTAAGGCGTTGCCATTCTAGTTATTATTGGGGACATAATTCTTTCAAATAAGCAGATTAAACAGTAACATTTTTTCTATCGAAACATCATTATTCCCAAAACAAAAATGCGTATAAACGTTTAATGTGTTGCAAAGGCAAAGTGAAAAGCTTGGCGCGCCATTTCCGTCGATGCTGCTTCCTTTTGCTGCCGCATGTTGCTGTGTTTTATGGATAATATAAAAGGCAAAATATAATATACTAAATAAGAATAATATGTATAATACATATATTTGAAAGACAATATACGAAAAAATTTGATTTAATCTAAGGCTTTGGCGCAAGCGCAGAAAGTTGTAATTTCCAGCCATCAGCAACATGTTGCTGCTTAAGAAACCGAACCTTCTGCAACATGTTGCCATCACCTGGTTGGCTGTTTTACTTCGGGTTTTGAATGTGTGTGCGCCGGATGTCGTCATCCTCGGCATTTTGCTATGGCTTCGGCCTTCGGCTTTGTGTTCGTGTGAGTGGCGAGCAAAGTTGCCCTGTCACCACTTGATGCCGCATCATTGTTGCCAGCAATTGAAAGAAAACACATTTCCATCGGTTTTGGGAAATATGCAAATTTAATTAATAAAATTACAAAAGTCGTATATATTATGTAGAATATTGGAAAATGAAAAATTAACACAAGAAAATATTAAAGATTAGTAAATCAATACAATGGTAGATGTCCTGAAAAGTGAAGATTAGACCTTGGAATGACCTTAATTAAAAACGGAAGATAAAATAATATATAAAAATACATACATATGTCCAGCAATTTCTTTCAAAATAGATTTCCTTCTGCAGAGGTTT